TGTACAGTACAGATCTCAACATCAACATCACCATCATCATCATCATCACCATCATCATCATCATCATCATCATCATAATTATAATCATCATCTTCATCATCAATGTTTCATCACGACTGATTATAAAAAGCCAATCATCTAGTAAGCTTCATTCGGCCTTGTAGTCACCTCATCCCCTCACCCATACAAATGTAATCATCTAGAGTAGAAACTCATCAACTCCACAAAAAATGAAACATAATTTGTTGACATCAGGTTTGATTTTTCTTCTTTCTTTCTTTCTTTCTTACTTTCAAGACAAGATATAAACGTCCACATGTACAAGAATTGCAGGTTTATATTTATACACTCATATGACAATTTCTTTTCCATCTTCGTACGAACAAAAAAAATAATATGAGAACCACTGCATGCCAAAATAAGACCAGCCATTCTACGTTTTCTTCATCTCCGATTCATCTTCTACATTTTGAGACAGAACATATTCCAAACATCCAGCTCTCTTTGTGCTATTTACCCCGTTTCCACTTTATTTGATTTAAAGGCATAAACTGATTTTCTTGATCATGTTGCAAAAGCATTCATACATGATTTTTGGCAAATGTATTTAAAATAGTCAAGCCCATTACTTATAATAATTGTTTATCATGATTGCCATCGGTATTTTAATCATTGCATTATGATAAAATAATTCAAACCAACAAATTGTATTCTCTTGATCATGATCGTAATAAACATTTAACTTCAAAAATGTCAGTTTCATTTTAAAGTTACATCCCCTTTGTGAGGTTATGAGACACATTCATTACTATGTATTTAGCATCTTTTTGTCATCATCTTTCATGATTCTAAATTTCTCAAATATTGATATAGTTTATCATTTCATTAGACCAAGGATCAGACCATATATTTCTCATATCCTATTATGAACTTGGATGCTTTAGCAATGTAATATCCCCATTATATTAGGCATCAAATATAGTTTACCTTAAAAACTCTAAATACCCACTCTGTCAATGAACTTCATCAAAATATTTAGTTTCCACTTTTGGACCTCAAGACAGTTAGACCCGTTGCTATGGCAACAAATGTTCAAGACCAGTCTATAAAAGCCACTTTGCGCACTACTAACCCACAAGTGAGTAACCCATATAGGGCGGCTTGTCCCTATATAGGACAAGTCTATATCGTATGTTCCATTTTTTGATCCCTCAGTGCTACTACTATTTCATTCTCGTAATGTTCCAGCAATCCCCTCGTTCCTTTACCTAGGTTTATAATTGACGCATGCTTCTCTTCCATATTATAAACGTCTTGACTTATCTACATAAAAAAGAAAGATATTTAGCGAAATTTCACACATTTACTTGTATTTTAGTCAATTCTACTCAAAACAGAAGAAGAAAAAAAAGGTCTATTGTTTGGGAATGATAATAAACTCATTTCTAATATACCTGTACAGAATTATATACAAATTACAAATGTCGGACGAGAAGAAATATTGGATTCCAAAATTTCCTCTGGAAATATAAGAGAGATATCTTATATATTGCCAAAAGCTTCTTTTTACAACCACAGTGTACATGACTACACATACATACACCATCTAAATTATCTTTTAAGCTGCTTTTAAAAGAAAAAAAATTGAGAAAATAGACACAGAAACAATAAACACACAAATCCATTAGATTTTCACCTCATTCCTCCCATTTTTGCTTGAGTTTGTTGATCATGAGTAACATGTACTACTTGATGATCAGTGTCATTCAACAGGAAAATGTTCTCTATTTGCTGCCGCTTTCACATGTTTGTAACAAAACTCATTTAAACGACACTTCAAATGTGCTTCAATGTGAACTTCTGTGTCACTGATTTTTTTCTTCCTGTATTTTCCAACACTGCAGAGATGTGTATTTAAAGGAGGGAAATATTTCCAACTTGACATATATCCAGTTCTACTCAAACATACCAGTCTTAACAGTTATAATCCTTTACAACTTTGTGACACAATGAGGATTATTAGAATGATATCAATGCATACAAGAGATTCCCCATACATGATAAGATGAACTTGTTTGGTGTCAAATTGCGCTAAGACACTCGGCTCTGTCCCCACGACAAAGCTAAGCTACTTTTAATATACAAATGAGACAGTATGACCTTTGACCTGTGTCACTAGGCAACGAAACCCGTGTCAGATTTCATCAAAAGAGAGATGGAACAACTGCATATCTTTAATCTGAAGATACGAAACGGTTCCGGAAACGATGTAAAACTGAACACACGACTACAGAGTAAAACACCCGCACTCGGTCCTGCGCATCCCAAAATGCACAGGCATACATACACACACACACACACACCCACCCACACTCATTCTGTAACATTCGCACAGAAATACAAAACAGCCGTCTTTTATCCGAACACATTTCTCTTAATACACAGGTCTGCTGCTTAAATGCATGATTACCAATTCACATCATAAAAATCTTGTCTAAAATCACGATAAACCAAGAGATAGTAGTAGTAGTAGTAGTAGTAATAGCTAAAGAAGTAGTAGTAGTATTTTGTAGTAGTAGTATGTTTGTAAACTTGACAACAGTATTTTCTGTCCTTTTTTTTTTTTTACTTCATACTTTTTTTTATCATATCTTATCAATACTGACACCAACACACATTTTTTTTGCTAGTTTGTAAATATCTACAATTCAAATCTTTCCTTTATCATTTCTCACATATAATTATAGGTACATAATTTCATAGAAAAAAGCTCAAAGAAGGGAAAAAATGAAAACAATGACAAAACAAAATATTACAAAGGTTTCCACTGCTTATTGATAGTCCGCTTCTTTCCTTCCTTCCTTCCTTCCTTCCTTCTACATCTCAAATAAACACTGTACAAGTCAAGCCATCTTTTGAAACTCATTTATCAACCATTTGATCTCAATTTCTGATAAAACACACATAAGGCTATGACGCAATGTTTAACAAATCAACCTCTACGACAACCTGGGATATCATTATCACACTTGTATTTGCAGCTGAATTCTGAAGCTGAGTAATCTTAATATGAAAGTGCAACTATTCCCACACCGAAGTTACTGGATTAATGCACATTTTCCTATTTATACACATTAGCTTGTGGACCACTAGTGAGTCAGAGTGGATTAACTTAACAGCTATTAAGAATAATAGCACACCAAATCTTGATCCTAATTTCAGTATCAATTCATATTTCAAGGGCGGATTACAATTGCTCATTTAAAATAAGTCGTTTGTTAATTTGTAAGTTTGTGAAGGAAGAAGAATGGGGGGGGGGGGGGGGTTTGGGGCAGAATGCATAATCATCACCATCATCTGACATGATAATAATACATGCATGAGTATTGCTATATCCTTGAATAGATAATTTGATACAAACATCAAGAGTCAAAAGAGTTAAAAGATGTCAAAAGGAGGAAAAGTACTTATCTGTCATGAACAACTGTTCATTTTTAATTATGTGGATTATCCAAATGTCTTATACTGGTATTTGCTCTTTTTTTGCCAGACTGCAACCATACACTAGCATCTTTGTAAGCTAACTTTTACCACAAAGGACCTGGCCATTTGATTTTATATGATAGCTTCGTTGTAGTACAATGCAAACAGAGTTTACAATTTTCATCCAAAAGAAACTACCGGTACCCCTCTCCTTTTTTTTCTTGAGATGTGTTTGTATGTTTTGTGGGCAGGGTGGGGTGGGATACACATGCTGCTGGACGTTCTATCCCGTGTGCCGTTTTGGTTGATTTCTGAAGTAAACATCGCATGTCAATGGGGGCTAAGCCATTGATATAAATATAGATAGATGACACAGAGAAAAGACATATGGACAGATAAAGACATAATATTTACAGAATTCTGTGCTTACATACGCATTCCCTACAAAAAAAAAGAGAAAAACCAGGATCTATTCTTCTTTTTCTTCCCTTCTCAATATCGATATGAAAGAAACAGTATTTTGCTGAAAAAGCGCAATTATTTGTCATTTCTTTCACATTTCATGTTCTTTTTTTTCTTCTTCTTCTTCAATTTCTCCTGGTTCTCATTTTGTCATTGTATGAATTGCCTTATTTCTGAAATATGTACACATTCTGCATGCTTTTAGTATAGTAAAAAGGACACAAATAATTCATAATGACATACATAGTATGGTCCTGGTAACCAATCTGAGGGTAGTAGTATGTAAAAACACAGACTTAATAATCAGCTGTGATTATACAAACAGACCTCAAATGCAAACAAAAATTGATAAGTAAATTTAAAAAATCTAGAGGAAAGAGAGAGGAAAACAAAGAAATAATATAAAAATACTAAGAGAGGGAGAGAGATTCTGCTTCCAAGATGTGTTTATGACAAGCATGGTATCCATTGAGTTTATCCTCTCTCTCTCTTATTCTTTTGTCTACAGCCTCCACTAAAATAGAACTCAATAAATGGTTTATACTGCTCTTAAAGCCTGTGACAAACAGTTATGAAGCCAGCTACAAGTAATTGCAACACATTGAATTAACAGAAGAAGGAAAATTTGTTAGGTCATCACATAATGTTCAGAAGTTGTAATAGTAATCTGTTTTTTGTCTTTTAAAACACCACACACACTGACTCCAAACGACAAACTTCCATCTAAAACACCCACAGTATCTGAAAGAGATTGATTGATTTCTTGATGCTGTTAATGCTTTCTCCTCTAAGTTACTTACAACAACAAAAAATATTCAAACAAAAAAATAAAACTTTACAAAAAAAAGAAATGAATCTCCACATACTCAATTCAGAGCCTTTATACAGCCATTAGGTATGAAAAATGCTTTCCATCAACTAGTTTGTTTTTTTCTTCACCTGAAATTAGAGTCTGGTGGAAGGGAACACAGGAGCAACTTTGATTGGTTTACCTTAAAGTTTAAAATCTTTTTACAATGTTGGCGGTTTTATTCATTCTCCTCTCCTAAATCTCTCCCATAACTCTTGGTAATTCTAATTATTTCTCTGAAATGCTGTCCCTTTTCCCCGTTATCTTTGTTAAGACGATGGCGACGACAATAACAACTAGTGCTGCTGTGATTGCAAAAGGACAGTCTCCCACGACCTTGGCGGGTGACCCAAGGGTCAAAGGTCACAGCAACTCATATTGCCGAAGATGCATCCTTTGGATGATGTCCCGACAATCGTCAAAGACTCGTCGGATGTTCTCTGTATCCACGGCACAGGTGAAGTGGGGGTAGCAGTAATGTCGGCCGTCGCCGCTCGCCGTGCTGATTCGCTGCATAGGAAAGAATAGAAAAACAACATTAAAACAGTTTTCTTTTGTGATGGACAGAATGGTATCTGAGGGCTTGTATATCCTAAGTTATTTAGGATGTTGGTTACAAGAGGTTCCCCATGTACAGTTGCTAGGCAACCATGTGTACACATAAAGGAAAAACCCAAATTGAAAAAAACCCATCTCTGGAGTGTGGTTTGTTTTAAATGCCGGCAGAAATTTCACTGATTTTTGCAGTGTAAATGCTCGATCTCAAAGCATCGGTGAATGATTCCAGTTTTGGGTCATGTGACTCTCATCACTTATTAAATGGGTTTTTCAAGTAATGTAACTTTTTTTTACTTTTATTAAAGGTTGGTTTTTCAAAATGGTTTTTGGGCCAAGCAAAATGGGGCTATTAAAAAAAAGCAGCAGAAAAAGAGAGAGAAGACGAGTAAGTGGGTTAATGAATGACTCACCAGGAATTCATCTCTGATGAAGTACTTGGCTCGCAAGACATCCTCTGGTTCACCAGTGTCTGTAGCGGCTGTAGAGAGGAAGAGAGAGAGAGAAACAAATTATCATCCTTTCCTTAACAGTTTAAAATTCAGAATAATTTTACACTACGAGTTAATTTTTCATGTTAATACATGAATTCTCAGTACTCAGGTTGAAAATCATTCACAAAAAGGTGTGACCAAAAGATTCATTGTATGAGACTTGATAGATGAACAAGTCAGAATACTTCAGCAGAAAATGCAGTATTTCAGAACACAAAACAAGTTATGTTTACTTGGTGGAGGGGAGAGAGAGAGAGGGGGAGGGGTCGAATGTTAAACCCAGTGTAGCAAGGATTCAAAGTTCTATGGCGTATTATAACATTTGACTAAAGCAGTATTATGCAGAAATTTAATCTTTAGCCATTGGATGTACATGTACACTTGAGTAGTATTCTGAATCGATATTTAAGCATTCCACATCACCCTGACTGATTTTAAAATGAATTCCAAATTACCGGATACTAGCATCATATGGAAAGGATTTCTGTTGCTCAAAAAGACTTTCAAATTGTCTGGAAAGGTTGTGCAACCAAAAAAGGGCACTATGTCCCTTTGAAGAGTACCATGGATCAATTATGCATTCAAAAATGTTTTATGACAAGCACAGTATGCTGTAATACTGCCATTGATTTCCAAACGCAGTGAATCAACAATAAAAACCAAGAGATCTCAAGATCTACCCTCATCAGAAAATGCTATAATCCCTGAATATTACATGTAGTTCCTTTCTACTTGTATGTGGTATATCCATGATACATCATTTTCTTTAGAACCCTCATTATTAATTTGTTGAGAAATGAAGAAATGTGCAAGTCCAAATGCATGTCATTGCCATCATGCATGATCATGTTAAAACATAATACCGGTAATAGAAAAGAAGAAGAAAAATAAGAGTAGAATACTAATATTGCTATCAACAAAATATAAAAAATAAGTGGGCTCACTGAAAACAGAAAATCAAATATTGTTTTCGATGTTTTTAGACAGTCAAAACCTGTGGATACAGAATTCTGTAGAGGTCTCTCATTTAGAATGTATGCATTGATGGCATAATAACATAAAGAATGCTTGACAGGTCCCAATGAGCCTGAAAGATGGACTTAAACAATGTCAAACTTTGCAACAAGGAGATGAATGTGATCAGCTTATAAATTAAGTGCTAGATGTACCTCTTAGGGGGCATTGCTTAAAGGCATCATTAAACAATGTTACATCTGAGGTTCATGGCCCTACGTGTTAATGTCTGTGATATGGTGTAATATCGAAGCCCTAAAAAATTGCACTTCAAAATCATCACTAAGTGCCTCAAAAAGTTTTAAAATCTTTGAGTGACCGGTTTCATCATACTCATTTCCCCCAATAGACTGTAGTGTTATGAAAACCGTTAGGAATACGCAATATTTGATTTCGTTATTCTATCATAAATATCTTGATAATCAGACAGGCGATCGGCTTGTAAAAGTCATGGGGTTCCTGACTGACCTAAAGGTTTATAATTATCATCGCAGCATGAGCTAACTCCAGGTTTTTGTTTCAGAATCTGAGACAAAGTTACCCCCATCCCTTTAATGCTTAAGCGTTGATAACTAGTTATGCAGAATGATCGAAACATGATAGACAATGGTCGAGGTATGCTGAGAACCAAAAGGGCATTAAGTCCTATCATTTTACACAGAGTTAAAACCATTGTGGCTCTCAGCAAATAATTAATTGCATTATTGATTCCTTTGTAATTATCTAGATTAATGGATGAGTGAACCAAATGTCACAGACATGGCTAGGTTTTGTGAACAGCCATACCGACACTGACAATTATATACAGTATTTGGTCATTATCAAACATGATTATAATTTTAGAGAAGTAATATTTCTCAATCAAACATTTTGCTGATTATGATTTATATAAGAAAATTCTATTTTGAATGAAGACCACAAATAATATACTTCATAATGACTCAAAAGGAAATGGGACACACTAGTTGCAAGAATGACTGCAAATAGGAGAAAGACATTAACGATCACAAGCCTTTTTTCTCTGTACATTATTTTGTCAAAGATAAGGCATCATGGCTAGGCTTACGATTGAATTTTGGGTTAGGGTTAGGTTTATACTTAGGTACGATGTTGGACCCAGGGTTAAAATAGGGACTTCCAATAGGTATTAGAAATTGAGAGCGAAGCCATCATTACACGAGCATAGGAGCATATGCCATGCAGTCATATTTGTTGTGTTGTATGATTGGTACAATGTGGTAGTGCATTACAAAGCAAAATGGCGGACGATTGGTGGGCATGGCATGGAATGGCTTGTGTAACTTACCATCGGGTGGGATTGTGTACATTGCATACTCGCTAAAGTAGTCCTCGATCTTAGACCTTCCTGCTTGGACCTTCTCAGCCAGTAAGTCCTGTTTGTTGAGGAAGAGGATCACTGAAATTGTCCGCAACCACCTGGAACAAAAATAGAAAATACATTGAGTACTGGATAAATGTGAACGGGAAAAAAGTGGAATTGTGTGGATAGCTCTTACATAGACAATAAATGGCTGTGTTGTATTAAGAGTGCAAAAGACCAGTCTGTCTGTCATCTGCACACGTATGTACCAAATGACAATAACTTGTATGCAGCCTCCTTTTACAGGTGTTCACTTTGTGGAAACTATAAGGCCATTTTGTGAATATTTGTGACCTAAATGTCTCTTTTCCGCACTTGTATACATTTTTTGCTGTCTACTTATCAAAATCATGATTTATAATTATACCTCTAGATTCAGCAAATCAAGCTTGTTCCTAGAAACATAGTTTGCCAGTATTATTTATCGTAAAAATATTCAAATAGTGGATTAAAAATGATCCTGTTTGCCACATCCTTGTTTCCTAAAATTATGGTTTCATTTTTCTTTGAAATTCGTCATCGTGTCTATTTTATTTGTACCTTCATGGGTCCATTTCAATATTTACAAATGTACCATGAAAACCTCAATAATATTAACTACAGTGAACATGCATCCATTTTAAAGACCCACAAAATATCCCATCTTGTGGTGCTATTTGGGGAATAGAAAAATGTGTTCAGAAAACATACATGTAATATAGAGGTACATGACATGCACTGATGGCTGGAGCAACATCACCAAGTTCAAAAACCTGTTTATGATAGAGTATCAGTGAAGCAAATTCTTCGCATTCACATACTTTCATTTTGTGAGTTTACATACAGGCTATGAGCCAAACCCCATCACCCCCCCCCCCCCCCCCCCCTCTCTCTCTCTCTCTCTTTCCTCTCCCCTCCCTCTCTCTCTCTCTCTCTCCCTGTAACTTCCTCCCATTAAGAATGCCCAAGTTCTCCATGCATGAGTCACATGATCTACAATGAGACAGTGCTATGAATCATGGGATAGCAAATTTTTTTTTAGCTCCCTCACTTCCATTTTAAGTTTTTTTTTCTGATATCTTGGCCTAGACCATCAGGTGGCAAGGCTTGTCGTTATCTTTATCAACGTGATGAGCAGCGACATGGCATCCGTTTTGGCGAGATTTGGTTCCGAACGATGATTCGACAGACGTGCGGTCACATCTCAATGCACCTGCTCAAAATTGTTATCAAACATTGTCCCCTCCCCTTCGAAAATCATAAACCTACGAGAGGCAAAAATCCTTTAGATCAAGATTCACTTAGCAGTAGAACTTTATCAAGATCAAAATCTTTCAGCAAAACAATGCTCGATATTATATCACATGAAATGGAGAAGAACAAGGCATTTATATTTCTAACAAATGTACCCCTTCCTTGGAACAGGATGGTCCAACAATGGGCTTAAAGATTTAACAGCTACAGGTTTGAACTTTGAGTGTACAGGTTTGAAAATCAGAAGCCGGTTTGAATTTTGAGTGTACAGGTTTGAAAATCAGACGCCGGTTTGAATTTTGAGTGTACAGGTTTGAAAATCGGACGCCGGTTTGAATTTTGAGTGTACAAGTTTGAAAATCAGCTACCGGTTTGAATTTTGAGTGTACAGGTTTGAAAATCAGAAGCCAGTTTGAATTTTGAGTGTACAGGTTTGAAAATTAGAACCAGGTTTGAATTTTGAGAGTACAGGTTTGAAAATCAGATATCGGTTTGAATTTTGAGTGTACAAATTTGAAAATCAGCTTGAATTTTGAGAGTACAGGTTTGAAAATCAGAAACCAATTTGAATTTTAAGTGTAAAAGGTTTGTACTTTGAGTGTACAGGTTTGAAAATCAGAAGCCGGTTTGAATTTTGAGTGTACAGATTTGAAAATTAGAACCAGGTTTGAATTTTGAGAGTACAGGTTTGTACTTTGAGTGTACAGGTTTGAAAATCAGCTTGAATTTTTGAGAGTACAGGTTTGAAAATCAGAGACCGATTTGAATTTTTAGTGTAAAGGTTTGTACTTTGAGTGTACAGGTTTGAAAATCAGCTTGAATTTTGAGTGTACAGGTTTGAAAATCAGAAGCCGGTTTGAATTTTGAGTGTACAGGTTTGAAAATCAGAAGCAGGTTTGAATAATTAATGAAATATTATTATTAGTCATAAAATGTGTTTGAAAGGCTTCAAAATATGGCTCAGAATGTCCTCTGGAGTATGGACCATCATCATACCAAGGAAATCCTCCTGTCTTAAAACTTCTCGCCATCTACAAGAATATCTTTTTTTGTATTGCTCTGATAAGCCATTGATGTCTTGGAAATAAACATGCTGCTGCTGCTTCCACAAGTACATCATATTTTCACTGCCTGAAATTTGATGTGTTCATACATATCTTCATTATGATTGAGATGATAACCATTTGTCATATAATGTAACTTATCAATGCCACAGAAGGCTTCTTGTTCCCTTTTCATGATTGGAGGGTCTCATTAGACATCATCACACACTCATCTTCAAAGGATTGCGACCCTGATCAAGAGAGTCTCAGGGTGTTGTGTGTGTCTTTGAGGGATATCCTCACCTGTTATTCCAGATGCTCCTGAACAGTTCTAGTGACTCCCTCAGTCTGTTCTGGTTTGGGTCTTCTCTCAACACCAGGTTGTAACTACTGCAGGCTACTACAAAGATGATGGCCGTCACATCTGATAGGGAAAGAGAAAAAGTAAAGAAATTAATTTTTGAGAATATCAATTGTATTGATTGCAGAGTAAAAAAGGACCACTATAACTGGAAAAAATAACAATAACAAAACTCAATTATTATTTGTGCAACAACTTTTTTTCTTGCATTCAAATGCATACTACGAGAAAAAATAAGAAAATTAGTTATCAGTAATCACAACAACTAGTGTAATAATAAAAATCACATAAAGCTTGAAATGGGAAATTACAAATAAAGTATTTTGACACTGACATCTCTTTGAAATAAAAACTGATGCCATTTGACACATAAATTCAAGATAATTGAGGCAAATAACCAATTTCAAAATTTAAGGAAGGGGAACATTCTAATTCCTTATGTTGTGCAGCTTAGTCAGAGCACTCTCAAAGTATGATGAATGCTGACTAATGTGTGAAAAGCATTACTTATTCATACTAACCCTACCATAATTGCCCCCTTTCGTTTCTTCTGAGAGCTTCTATAAACACGGAAGAGATTAAAAATTAAAGGAAAGGAAAATATTGCGCTCGATGTAACTCCTGTGCCTGTGACGCTTTCCGGTTCCAACAGGTAATTGTATTCCCACTGCACCTTCTATTCATTACTGGGACATGATGCATGAAATATGGTACGACTTCTACCTGGTGTCAGTCAGACAGTCTTATCAGGGGGCGAACAAGAAGCCCCTACCAACCCCCTAGGGTGCTTCAACCTCTAGCCCCATTTAATTGGGCAACTTAAATTTGCTGCTTAGGTGGAAGATTTCAAGCTTTATAAATTATATCTGCACATTTCATTTCCAGTGTATTTGCAGACAAAATAAAATGGATATTCAGGACAAATGGTGAAACCAAACTGTTTAACCAGTTTGGCTAGCATACTTTAGGAGAACGCCCAAGATATCCCTCCCCTCCGTCCTTCTCCTTTTCCCTTTCTATGACTATCCATATATCTCAGATGGGCAAAATGTAGTAATTTTATATTGTTATGCTTAATATTGCTTCATTTCCATTATCATGCTAATTAACACTGCTTCATTTTAAATCGTTCATACAAAAAATAATGAATATTGCTTGATTTTCGCATTATGGCATTTCTCAATCTTTTTTTTCTGAGACATTGCTCTCTGTCTGTCTGTATATCTGTTTGTCTGTCTCTCTCTCTCTCTCTCCTCTCTTTCATTCACACTCTCTCTCTCTCTTTCTCTTCCTCCTCTCTTCCCTGTCTCACTTTTCTTTTTAATTACCTGAAAGGGCAAGGTAGAAAAGCATGTCTTCACGCTACAACTCACCCTTCCCTGCCTGTGCACTCATTTACTGTCAGACAAGCAACACAAAAGTTTCCAGCGCAATCACGTAATTGCCCAAGTCAGTTAGTGTTGCGCATGGACAACATTGTTTAACTGTCAGATGCTTATCAACATCATCATGGAAAGCGTCTATTTTTTAGACAGTAGGATGCAAAGCCAGCTGGGGGATCTTCTATTGGTCATTTCTTTTCTTAACTTTTGTTCTTTAGTATTTTTCTTTTGAAACTAGAAGAAATCAATCATTGAAAGAACATCAACAACAACAACACCAATATCATGGCATTTAGGGAAACAATCAGGGGGTACAGTCTCATAGAAATACATATAGGTGAGAGGGAATTACAGAGAGAGAAAAGGAGAGAGAGAGAGAGAGAGAGAATGAGAGGGGGGTATTAAAAGCTCATCTCACTAATTGATTTCATGCAACCTTGTACATATCTATACATGTATATGTACATGTCCTTGGAATATCCATGTTATGAATGGATTTCTAATAATGAAAACAAAAGTGCTTATGATCAATAAAAACAATAAAACTCAAAATATCACTTTGAGGGCCCATAAATAGAACTTAGTCCTATATAGGTATAGGAATAGTTGGCAGCTGTATGGCCACACCAAACTATCAAGGATAACAAACTACAAAACATTTGTCTGGTAACCCTATACATGCATGATTAGAATTAATATTTTTCATGTGAATGATGTTTACTGAACTGAGAAAAGGGCATCAAGAAGATCTCAAGAAAGCATCTGGGCCATCTATTGTGTACATGCCAAAGAAAAGTGAGAATTGTACTTAAAATTTTTTCTTGATTGTATCTTGTGTGTATACCCTTATTAAAAGGCTGTATAACTGACATGACTTCACTGTAGTAACAGGTGTGACATGTGGACTTTAAGCAATGTTTACATAGAAAATCAATGCTTGAATATACACGAAACAAATTTCATTAAATAGTGAACAGCACACTCAACCTCATTATGGAATATGCCTACAATCAAAATTGAGAGAATATATAATACTGTATGCATCTTTTATGATATTCACCCATCGGTATTGAAAGAAAAGAAGAAAAGATTGATGCAGTAAACTTATTTCTATTTCGGCATTAACATTAATGGCTATTGTATTAATAATGTCATTTAAAGGTATTTTGAGAATGCTGCCATCGACAACTCACACCCTTCTATAACCCTATGGTAGATCATTTGATTGAACTTTGCAACTACATATTGTGAGGTTCATTGTATGATGTAGGTGGGGGCAGATAATAGATGTGTGCTTATTGTGGTTAGCATGCCACATGACTCCTACACAAGCACAACTAACCTGAATGAATAATGGCCTTTCAAAAGTAAATTCCTTGTAATGTCTACAAAATATCATTTGCCATAAACCTTGCATGGTTATCAAATGCACTAAAGGGGAATCCAACCTTGATAGCAGACTACTCTAAAAGATTAAAGAAAGCAGAAAAATCAGAGAATACTACAAGTAAAAGTTTGAATGAAATCAGGCAAAAAATGAGAAAATTTATGAATTTCAAAAGTTGCACTATACTAGGTATGGGCTTTTAAATTGGCTGAATTGGTAATGTCTCTATGATGTACTTGTGATGGTTGTGTATTTGTTCTAACACACAAAATGACTAAAATTTCAATTTTTCAGAAATGTATGACCCGGATGGTCTTTTTAGTATAGGGCCCGAAGGGTCAAAGCACTTGGGAGAGATTAGTAATATTTTTGTAAATGACAAACAGGAGAGTTATCTGCCACTAAGGTCTCAATCCACTGACAAAATTGCCAATTTGAGATTTGCATAGCTGTAGTAATCTCATATTACAAAAGTTCATAGCTTTCTTATTATTGATCCTATTTATTTCAAATTTTTGCCATTCTGTTTCTCTGATTTTACTGCTTTCATTCAAAAGAACTCATCACAAGGGTATGATTGCCCTTTAAAGCCAGAAGAATTTCCACTGCACAAACATGATGCTACCTTAAACTGCTAACGTAGTCATGCCAAAGGTGTCTCGATAGGCGCGTCTTCATCATCTCGAGATTGCCCGCTATTTCTGATTTGGCAAATAATCCCGAAGTTACAGATCGCGTCTTCGTCAGCTCGAGATTCGACCTCGAAACTTGAAACTCGACCTTGAGAAATTAGCTCGAGATATTTTGCTCAACCTTCGCGCATAGCGCGAGTCTTCGGACAAATAGACAAATAAATTTTGCAAACTATCCCAAGATATCTTGGGATGACAATCCCGACCAAATATCCAGCTAATTGCAACTTCGGGCTGATAAAGACGCAAATTAGCTGCATAGTTTGCGATCGGGATGGTTCAAATAGCGGGATATACTGTGGACACAGGCCTACTATGGACACAGCATCCCTTGGGAGCGGCCAACTACATGATCAAAATGCATTCCAAAAACTAGGGACCGCGGATGCATCTGAGATGAAATATGAATATGAACACAGCCCCGCCCACACCCATCCATCTAACACATCATTCATAACCAACTGTGTATGTGTGTGTGTGTTGTATGTGTGTGAGCTTTTACTTTTAGCATGCCTAAGCTACATTCTCTATTCCCCAAAGTACCTGAGCCTATTTCAGAACCAGTGTGTCGATATTTAAACAAGTAAAATGGGAACTGAAATAGAAATTAATGGAGTGATGAGGAAAGAGAAAGAGAGAGAAAAAGAAAGAGAGAGAGAGAAAGAGAAAGAGAAAGGGAGAGACAGAAAGAGAAAGAGAGAGGGAGAAAGAGAAAGAGAGAGGAAGAGAGTGCACACCAGTCAGGGACAGAAAAGGATGTACATGACTTATTTCAGCAAGGCGAAGCTATAAATAGAAAAATCTATTATAAGCAGGGCTGAAAATGGGATGACTGTAGTCTATTTAAAGAGACCATTTTCCATTTATAGCTGCTCTTCATCTCTATGTAAAATAACTTTAGAAGATACAGAGGCGGCACTCTCGAGGGGAAGATGGGTAGAGACACAGTGACCCTTATAAATGCTTATATTTCCAGGTTGTCATAACCCATTACAGTATAAATGAATTCTTAGACCCCATCCCCCCTCCCTTATATCTAGGTATAGACACCATCTTTAAAGGGATCTGGTAACTTTGTCTTAGATCCAGTAGAAATAAACCTTGATTTAGCTCATGCTGCAATAATTATAAACTTTTAGGTCAGTCAGGAACTCCATGACTTTTACAAGCCGATCGCCTGTCTGATTATCAAGATATTAATGATTGGAATTACAAATTTTGAAAGCCGTTCGCTGAACGGTTTTCATAACACTACAGTCTATTGGGGTAAATGAGTATGGTAAAACCGGTCACTCAAAGATTTTTACTTTTTTGAGGAACTTCTTGATCATTTTGAAGCGCGATTTTTTTTTAGGGCTTCATTATTACACCATATCACAGACACTGGTAACATGTAGGACCGTGTATCTCAGATTTAAAGGGGAAGTCCACCCTGAAATTAAGTTAGTTTTAATAGGAGTAGAAAAATGAGAGAAACAAGTCAGTGAAAGTTTGAGCAAATTCCGATTAAAAATAAGGAAGTTAGGATTTTTGAAGTTGTGATCAATCACACACAAATTGGCAACTCTATGACGTATCATGCGAGCTCAACTTCCATTTGCTCAGTACTAAAAAAATCTAAAATTTTCATTTTCCCTCAAGAAAAATTTCAACCATACATGCACCCTAAATATAATAATTGCAAATATGTTTCTATACTCCCCCTGCAAGGAACAAATATATATTCCGTCATCAATAACGAAGAAAACATGATTTTATGGAATATTATGCACAAAGCAAATGAAGGAGAGCTCGTATAATAAGTCACAGAGTTGCCAATTTGTATTTGATTGATCACAACTTCAATAATTCATAACTTTCTTATTTTCATTCAGAATTTGCTCAAACATTCACTCACCTGATTTTCTTATTATTCTGCCTCTATCGAAACAAACTTATTTTGGGGGTGGACTTTCCCTTTAACATTGTTAAACGATCCCTTTAAGATGAATATAATCATGATTTAAGGCTATTCTCAGGACGTTATTGGCAGTCCTCTTGGACGCCATTTTGAAAATAACCATTTCATCATGAGATATCCAGATTTATTATTATATACAAGTTCTGTTTATTGTACATGTACGTGCCTGTGGTAACAAAACTGTTGAGTCGCTTATCAAAACAGCCCAAATGAGTCTCATAAAATGAATAATTTCAGAATAATTTGCTAAAATATAAACGTTTTGACACCAGATTAATGTTCATTAAAACAATTATTTATCTTTGAGATTCTTAATCAAAGCATGTACTTTCTAGATATTTTTCAATTCAACATAATTGAATTCAGACCTCCTCCACCCCCCCCCCCCCCTCCCCCTTCACTGCTCCTCCTTCATCCCTGTCCCTCCCAAACATCTGACCTAAAGTAGTCAAATTGATTAACCCGAGCAGCTGGTTAAAGAAAGGCTTCCATTTCCCTGCAATTTGGTTCACTGTAGGATAGAATTGGTTCAATTTTGGGAGCATCTGATTCGCATCACTATGGATATCGGGCATGGTCAAGTATCACCAGTAGAGGGCCTACTTAACTTTCTGAGTCAGAGATGAATATTAAAAGGGTGGGCCCCTTCCCCTGGTCCTAGTATTATCTAAGGTCCTGTAGCCTTCTCTTCCTAAATCAACATCCAGGTAAAAGATGGGTTTGCATACTGTATATTATTCATTGGCTCAAAATCTTCATTTTGATTTTTTTTCCCTCCTATTTCTAGTTCCTTTTTGTAGTTACAAATGTTTTTATTTAATTACTTATTATTCCTAACTATCATTTGAGGGGTCTACAATTGTACAAGCATTGCTTTTTAGTGGACCTCTCTGTTTCCAATATGTATTCCTTAATTGTTGTAAATGGTTATAATTGATTTGTAATGTTTCATTAGAAACAGAAATAAAAATTGAATTGAACTCTAAACCACCTGGGCATCACATAACTTTCAAAATGTCCGTTAACCACCCCCCCCCCCCCCCCACCCAGAGTGAGTGGAGGCCAAAGCCAGTATCACATTTAAAGCCCCACTGCACTACTTATAACTAGTTGCGCCCTCTATATAGCAAACAATGCCTAATCGGTGACCATTGGTCCCCTATTTCTTATGTAAATTGAGAGCTGATTTGATAAGATAACCACCTGCCAGTGACCATGCGGGGAGGTCTAATCCCTCCTGGCCAAACTAGTGCATAGGGGCTTTAACCAAAACCCAATTTTTTTTTAAAGCTGATCAATCCAGCCATTATCAAATCATCTTAAAGGAGCTACACAAAGAAAATTCACTAACAACTCATAATTAGAACAAATTACATATGGATGGAAAGATTTTCTTTTGAAAAACATGAACAATTTGCTGAGAAATCATATAGATATCATGGAAAGGCGTAAAATGCAATTTTTCAAGACCCTCCTTGGACCCCCGAACGCCCCTGAACGTAAGTCAAACACACAAGCATAGCGAGCTCTGAATTGTGACGTCACACACTGGATGAACAGCTCAGTGCCGTGTTGCAGTATGCAGCTAGCCAGCCGTGTCCCGTATGTGACGTCACAAATATTGACGCTCTACAAAGGACCGCTGAAGGCAGAAAATCTGGTTCTCAAAACTAACATTTTTGAGAGTTGATTACTGCGGGCCCCAAACATATTTTGAAGAGAAGAGTTGTTGTATTTGATCGGCAAGGCTTCGCCTTCGCAATGATATGAGTTTTGCATCAATTCAAAACACTTTTGATTCTTTGTGTGGCTACTTTAAGTGAGATAGAGATTGCTGAACCTCCATCACTGTGCACGTGTCACACACCAATGATCTGTGTTCAAGCTAACTCCCAATGTGAACGCGTCTCTGACCTTGCTCCCTTTCATGCAGTTGGCTGAAAAGTGAGCCTATGAAAAATAGCTTGTTCAAAGTCCACATGACAGGAGGTACCTATATGCTCCCCATGTATGACTATAGTAGGTCTATGGTATGACTAACACACAGCGCATACAAAAAGTGCAACTTTGGCTCTATTTATTTGCCTAGAAGGGTCAACTTGAATCTTTACAGCTTGAAATTTGACAATATCAAACTTTTTTTTTTTGGGGGGGGGGGGTTGGGGGTTGGAGTTGGTGGAGGCTTCCTTGTTATTACATGTAAGGCCTTGGATACAAAATGAGTACATCTTTCCTTATCTAAATGAATGTGCTTTAAGCATTAGGGCAATAAAGGATAAATCTCCATAAAATTATTCTTAAGTAAACTATCAGAGTCCTCCATTAAACAGCGATACCATTTAGTTCTACACATGCAGCCTGAAAAGAGACCATGAAACATTGGATCCCCACATGTTCTGTACATGTTTAAAGTGTACCCGCTAATATTTCAGTCTGTATGTAGTACTTTCATGCCATAAATCTATGCTCAAAACAAGAGCTTTCACATATTACTTCTATATAGAGATTTTCCAACTTTAAATATACTCTAAATTAACATAAAAGCGACTTGTGAGTAGACTACTTGACGCACACATACACGCTTGCATACAATAGGGCCCACATGGAACCCATGTCCGACTTGGGCTCTATGGGCGCCGTTTTATGTTGTTCTTGATTTTCTTCATACTCCTTACCTAAGAGCAGAAAGAATGCCGGGCGAAGTTTTTTAAAGATAGATTTTATACATTCTAGCTGAACTCAAATGACATTTTTAGGTGATTGGTATACACCTGAAACATGTGAAAAGGAGAGGTGGTAGTACCTGAATCAAGGAAAAGCCACAATAATGCAATCACTGGTTAAATACTCTTCAAATCCTTTTCCTTTGAAAGTAAAATGAGTTGAATTTACCATTGAAACATTGGATCCATTTTCTCCTTTCGTCTCTCTGTCCTCCTACATCGAACATGCTGTTGATTTAGAAAAAGAAATAAGAAGTGAAAAGAACAGATTTGTTAGCATAGAACTCTTTTTCCCATTGATTTTGCCTCCCTGGTTGATTCTGAAGTCTTGTATTTAGTCAATCCCACCCATTCCAATCTTTTCAAGGAGTCTTCTCCTTTTCCATTCATCTAATTTCTGTCAGACAGTGACTATCATCTCTTTCTCAGAAGTCAATGTCATAAAATGACATGAATCCTTTATTTGTTATTTCTACGATCAATGTTAGAACTCTTCACTAGTCTTGCTAGCAGTTTAAATGCTAACACTTTTACAGAGCAATTTCCAAGAACATGATGTCATTGTTGTAATTGCTGGAATGATGGTAACTCTGTTAATATTTGGCAACAAAACTTACTGAAAGTTGACTTTGTCCACTTGGAATTTTGTTTCAAAGATTCCAGACGTCAAGACACGACACCGGAGAATGTCCTATATACGAAGAAAAAATAAAGATGAAAAGAAAAGATTTTGAATAATGAATTCTATTACTTTATTAGCACTGTAATAAACAGATACTTCAATAGGTGTTTTTGTAATGTAACCATATTTATAATAATAATAATAATAATAGCCTAATAGTCCACTACAAATTTTATTAAACCGAAACAGAAATTCTTTTCACCTAATTGATCGTGAGCCCGGCAGCCACTGAGCAGCGCCAGATCGACGTTGCTCTATCCCTTATTGTTGAACGCCAAACAAGGTAGCAACAACTCCCATCGGGGTAATAGTATGTTTGTAAAGCGCTTAGAGACATTTGTATTAAGCGCTATATAAAAATTAAATATTATTATTATCTTTTAACGTCTTTTGGCATGACGCGGCCGGGGTTCGAACCCACGACCTTCCGGTAGTGAGGCGGACGCTCTACTGTCTGAGCATTTGTGAAGTGCCTCGATACAAATAATTTCATTCACACGTTACAAATAAATGTATCTCAATAGTCAGAACGCGATTGCATAACTTAGTTGTAGCTAGGTAAGACATACATTATGGCTTGTCCTACATAGCAACACATAATATATGCAACTTGCATTCTGACTATTGAAATACAATTATTTGTATTCAGATGAGTGAAATAATTGTTTTTTAAAGTTTAGTAGTAATCTAAGTGGTAGAATGATTTATAACGGGGGGGGGGGGGGGGGTTAGGGCACATTTAATCCAAGATACCTGTTTAAATTTTGTACTCCTACTAAAAAGGCCCCCCCATATTAAGTCAGAGTGTCTGCGGAATAAACTGGTTAAAGCCCTTAAAGAAAAAGTGAATTGAAAGTTGAATGCTTTGAGATGAGTTCCTCTCTATCATTATAGAAAGAAATCAATGTTCTTTTGATCCAGGCATCTCTTCAATATTAATCCAACACTTCTTTTCCCAGTAAAGCCGCACATTCCATGTTATTTCTGTACTCATTTGAAAAACCATAAACTTTCCAAAGATATTTCTATGATAAGTATTTTACCCATCAACAACATAAGACACCACAAAATCGGTTAATAACTTTTGGATAAAAGCCAGCATTATATGGAATTCACATTTTCCTTATAACTTAAAAGCTTTTTTTGCAATACCCGTTTAATCCTGCAACCATGTGGACGCCTAGCAACGAATCTAACAGTGGTGACAAAAATAGCAAGTATCACGTAAAATGTTAAATTAACGCCTACCCTTTTCTATCAATAGACCTTTCCTAAATCTATTTGGAATGAGATTAGAAGCTTTAAATAGATTTCCATACTTCTGGCTCCCGGTTTAATGCCCTTAAAGATCGGAATATACATGTACTATTTTGCAAATTCCTGCATTTCGTATCATCTCTGAAGAGGTTTCATCAGCAAGGCAAACACATAAACTGTCGTACTACCTGAATTATTAAGCAAATCTTTGTTTCATTTATTATCACAATTAAAAAAAAAACAAAGGAAAACATAATGAAATATATCTCAAAACACTTTGTATAAAAGACCTGCCAAACAAAACATATATGCTTAGTAACTGGAAGCAGGAACTTTACATGGACCAATACTACCAGACAGATCAGTTTCCAATCTAATAGCAAGGAAGCTTTTCAGAGTGTGACAGAAAACACTTGTTACTATGACAACAAAGCTACTTCTGTCAATCATATCACTCTCTACTTACAGTGGTAGATTGCTCTTTAGCATTTATATTATTGTAAGATCAATTTTAGACAAAATAATGAGGTGACCCAACATATTCTCTGGCAGCACTTCTTCCGGGCTTTTTATTTCATCAAATATTAGGGTAGGGCTTGCAATCGGGTTATAAGTTGAAAGGATTAGGGTTATGGTTTGGAATATCAAAAGGTGCAGGGTTGAAGTTTTGAACATAAATGGTGTATAAATTGAGCATAAAGCAATTGTTACCAGAGGATGATGTGTTGTAGTATTAAATGATATCTGAGACTTACCTGTAGGTCGGGAGCATAGTCTGGTCTTCTTATTGTATCAACTCTATCTAAAAAACTGTGAAGGGAAAATAAAACAAGAGGGAGAAGAAAAGAAAGGGATCATTAAAAACGTGTTCACTGAAATATTGGTTCCATTATCAATTCTTATTAAGTCAGAATCATTCCTCGTAAATGAAGCCGAGTGTGCTATTTATGAACCAAAACATTTAACAAATTGTATTTCGAAAATTGAGAGGTAATGATGTGATATTTTATAAAATTCCAATGTCATATTAATACTCCCTCAGGTAGATAACAAGACATAATGAGTGACTTTGAAAACAATTAATTAACATGCTGATTCAAATTATGGTTTCATTATCTACACATTTGCTCCTCAATATATCAACAATTAATATTTTTTTAAATGTGCAGTATACAGTCTCTATAGTCAGAAAACTTTGCTTGAATGTTACTGAGTAACACATAATTTGAAACTATTGCACAAGGTCTTCCAGGTGCATTAAAATGTTATATTTCTGACAGTTCCAGCATGCTGCACTATGGTTGATACTTTATTCTAATTAAACAACTTACAATTGTTTTTGCAATCTTTTTTTAAAACATAACGCAAAGCAACGATAAAAGAATCAATTCATAAATAGTTATCCTTATAACTTTCTTAACACTTTTTCCCTTTTTTCGTTGAAGATTTCTTGATATTTATGTCTGCCACCTTCTCCCTTCTTGTCCTTGTCCTCCCATGTCTCTTTCTCTCCCCCCCCCCCCCCCCGTTCTCTTTCTCCCCCCCCCCCCCCCGTTCTCTTTCTCTACCCCCCCCCCGTTCTCTTTCTACCCCCCCCCCCCCCGTTCTCTTTCTCTCCCCCCCCCGTTCTCTTTCTCCCCCCCCCCCCGTTCTCTTTCTCTCCCCCCCCCCCCGTTCTCTTTCTCCCCCCCCCCCCCCCCGTTCTCTTTCTCTCCCCCCCCCCCCGTTCTCTTTCTCTCCCCCCCCCCCCCCCTTCTCTTTCTCTCCCCCCCCCCCCCCCCGTTCTCTTTTTCTCCCCCGTCAACCTGTTCTCTTTCTCTCCCCCCCCCCCCCCCCCATCGTTCTCTTTCTCTACCCCATCTCTTTCTCTCTACACATCTTTATATCTTTCTCTCTGCCCTAGCTGTCCCCTCTCTTCAAATTTTACCTATTCACTGTTCTATAATTTCATGAAATTGTATTTCCATGTATCACTAGAAGAAGCAACATAGGATATATTTTAAATTCCTCTTTTCCCCTAAAACAATAGTGACAAATTCCGTCTACTGCTATGTCCTCTGTTCTGCACCATCATTCAAGAATCCTTCAATCTTTATTTTTGTCCACGGAGTGTTATAGGGCAATCTAACCCTTGTAATAAGCTCATTTATAAGACATATAAGCAGAACAATAAGATAAACAGAATGGCAAAAGTTTGAAACAAATCAGAACAATAACAAGACAGTTATGAATGTTTGAGAAACAAGATCACCCAATCTATGCTAATCTCAAATTGGCAGTTTGGTCAGTGGATTGTGACGTAGTCACAGACGACTCTCCTATTTGTCGTGTACAAAATTATAGTTAATTTCTGTTTTTCTCCCAAGTGATTTCTCCCTTGGGGCATTATTATAGGTCCTCTACCATACATTTTTGAAAAATTGAAATGTTGAAACAAATAGGAAACTCTTCCTTCTGCTACTACATAAGAGACATTACAGATTTAGCCAATTTTAAGAGCGAATATAGTGACTATAATTTTTGTGTCTGATTTCATTGAACCTTCAGTCTACTTCTCTGATTTTTCCGCTTTCCTCTAGGGGGTAGTTTGCTATCAAGCTTGGATTTCCCTTTAATATTCTTTTGCCAGTGACATTGTGAGAAAAGTAACTACAGCCGAGGTGTAAGTTGTACTAAACACTGAAATACTATTTCCTCCTTACAATAGCATAGCAACTCAGTTCTAGCTATATGAGACATAGCCTTATCAGCATAAAATTTACGTGAATGGGCCAATGTCTTTAGCGAGAGCAAGCAAGCAGGCGGGCGGGCCGTGGAAAAAAATGCATGCAACTTTACTACATCCTTCATGTGTACAGCACATGCCCTGTGGAATAGCAAACCTAGGCTAAAAATAGATTTGAGGAAGAATAGTTGCTCATGGTACAAACTAGTTTATGCAGACAGCCCATGGTACAGACAAACATTGCGCTCATTGAACTGTACTCTAGTGCAGTGTAACTTTTCTTGTGATCAAGCACTTGAAAGTGTGCCTAATTGAATATTGACCATGAAATATATACCCATTGTGAGAAAAGGGCTATGTTGTGGAGAGGAATTTCAAGGGCATGAATTCGGAGGCTTCATTGTTAACAAGAGGTATGAGTTGGTAGACTAGCACGCAGTCATCAGGAATGGAGGGAACACACTGGTTGCTATGCTAGGCGGAGTGTTATGTTGATCACCGTTATCAACATTGAGAATGGGAGGTAGGGCGAGACTGAAGGGGGAGAGACTGAAGGGGGAGAGAATGAGAGACAGATTTGATGGAGAGGGATGGAGGAGAGGGATGGAACTGGGAAGGGAGAGAAAGATGGGAGTGAGATGGGGGAGAAAAATGGGAGTGAGATGGGAGACAAAGATGGGAGTGAGATGGGAGACAAAGATGGGAGTGAGATGGAAGTGAGATGGGAGAGAAAGATGGGAGTGAGATGGGAGAGAAAGATGGGAGTGAGATTGGAGAGAAAGATGGGAGTGAGATGGAAGTGAGATGAAGAGTGAGATGGGAGAAAAAGATGGGAGTGAGATGGGAGAGAAAGGTGAGAGTGAGACGAAGAGAAAGATGGGAGTGAGATGGGAGAAAAAGATGGGAGTAAGATGGGAGAGAAAGATGGGAGTGAAAGATGGGAGTGAAAGATGGGAGTGAAAGATGGGAGTAAGATGGGAGAGAAAGATGGGAGTGAGATGGGAGAGAAAGGTGAGAGTGAGACGAAGAGAAAGATGGGAGTGAGATGAGAGTGAGATGAGAGTGAGATGGGAGAGAAAGATGGGAGTGAGATGGAAGACAATGATGGGAGTGAGATGAAGAGAAAGATGGGAGTGAGATGAAGAGAAAGATGGGAGTGAGATGAAGAGAAAGATGGGAGTGAGATGAGAGTGAGATGGGAGAGAAAGATGGGAGTGAGGTGGGAGAGAAAGATGGGAGTGAGATGGAAGTGAGATGAAGAGTGAGATGGGAGAGAAAGATGGGAGTGAGATGGGAGAAAAAGATGGGAGTGAGATGGGAGAGAAAGATGGGAGTGAAAGATGGGAGTGAAAGATGGGAGTGACATGGAGAGAAAGATGGGAGTGAGATGGAGAGAAAGATGGAGTGAAAGATGGGAGTGAAAGATGGGAGTGACATGGAGAGAAAGATAGGAGTGAGATGGAGAGAAAGATGGGAGTGAGATGGGAGAGAAAGATGGGAGTGAAATAGGAGATAAAGATGGGAGTGAGATAGGAGTGAGATTAAGAGAAAGATGGGAGTGATTTGGGAGAGTGATTTGGGAGAGTGAGATGGGAGTGAGATGGGAGAGAAAGATGGGAGAAAGATGGGAGAAAGATGGGAGTGAAATGGGAGTGAGATGGGAGTGAGATGGGAGTGAGATGAAGAGAAAGATGGGAGTGATTTGGGAGAGAAAGATGGGAGTGAGATGGGAGAGAAAGATGGGAGTGAGATGGGAGATAAAGATGGGAGTGAGATAGGAGTGAGATTAAGAGAAAGATGGGAGTGATTTGGGAGAGAAAGATGGGAGTGATTTGGGAGAGAAAGATGGGAGTGAGATGGGAGTGAGATGGGAGTGAGATGGGAGAGAAAGATGGGAGAAAGATGGGAGTGAGATGGGAGTGAGATGGGAGAGAAAAATGGGGAGAAAGATGGGAGTGAGATGGAAAAGTCAGAGGCAGGTGATAGTGAGGGGATTGAGATGGGAGAGAAAGATGAGAGTGAGATGAAGAGAAGATAGATTGAATTGAGTTTGGGATTTGATAGACAGATGGGAGAGACAAGAGAGATTGAGGGGGAGAGGGGTGGGAAAGAGGATGGATATGGAGATGAAAGAGAGATACTGAGCATTTTGAGGGAAAAGTAGGGAGAGAAAGATGGGAGCAAGATGGGAGTAATGGGGGAGATGGAGAGGGTACTTGGAGTTTTTTTGTATAAAGCAAAGGTGTGAAGGCATCGGGTCAGTAAGTGGACTAATAAAATGCACACAGACCATGATGGAAAAGCAAAAGGCCCCCCCCCCCCCCACCAACAAAACATAAAAAGACTAATCACATAAATATCAGTTTGAAATATTCTAGAATAAACTTGATGCTCATGAATGGTAACAATATATTCAGGGCCCAAAATATTCTTCTGGGTGGATGGAAGGCAGGTAATCAAAATTTAGGGGGGGGGGGTCCTAAATATATCACGTCTTATATTCTCATATCATTGGAACTGAAAGATAATGTGATATCAATCATTGCAACAACAAAAAATAAAATAAAAGAACCTAGATTGATATGACAGTCATTAGATTATCAGACCCCCACCCCTCCTTTTTTTTTTGGAGGTTGGATATGTCGGATGTTGATATCAGAATACAGAAAAATCTTACAGATGGAAGTGACGAATACATTTATGCTACAGTTGAACTTATCAATCAGCAGACTGTCAGAGAGAAGGATGAAAGGACAGACAGGCAGATAGAGAGAAAGACATACAGACACACACAAACACCCTGACACACAGATAGAGAAGAATGAATGTGTAAAAGAAAGAGGAAAAGAGGAATATCTAGCAGATACAAGCATGTGTTTTCTCTCACTGGGTGCCCATTATTGAATCAGTCGTTGTGTTGGTATCCAAACATAGTTGAGCAAGATGAGGAGGGAGGGTGGGCCGGATGGATTCACCGTAAATATCATCATTGCATGTATGTTTCTATACAACCTCTGTATGAAACAAATCTATTCAGTCATCTAGAACTGAGAAAATGTAAGTTTATGATATTTTCTGTACTGAG